CATGGCTGCTTGCCTGCACCAATGCCTGAATACTTGACAGCAGTGGTCTTGTGAGAAGCATGCTCATTTTTTGTTTGTTTTAGGTTTTGTTTTTTGATTTTTGGGGTTTTGTTTTTGTTTTTTGTTTTTTGGTTTGGTTTGGTTTGGTTTTGGTTTTTTTGAGACAGGGTTTCTCTGTGTAGCCCTGGCTGTCCTGGAACTCATTCGGTAGACTAGGCTGGCCTCGAACTCAGAAATCTGCCTGCCTCTGCCTCCCAAGTGCTGGGATTAAAAGGCGTGTGCCACTCTTGCCCAGCCTGCATGCTCTGTTCTTGTGACTTCCTGTGTGTGGTGGTGTCCCCAGAGGTGACTTGGGCCCTGAGGCCATGGGCTGTGGCCCAGAAGCGTGAATGTGGCAGGTGACTGGTCTAGGAAGGCAGTGCCTGGTTTTTAGGCTTTTCCTCTTGCTGTCCCTTCCTGGGTTCCTAGCTATCCATGGCCCACTGTGTCTGAAGAAGGGACTGACTGTGGATCCTGTCATTGTGGGGTGCACACTAGGTCTTATCTAAGCCAGTACTGGGAAGTCACTGGGACAGCCCAGGCTGTGGAGGAGGCCGTTACTGTCCTCACTGCCCTGTGGGCCTCAGGCCCTGACTCCACAGAACTGCCTGTGTGGCTTGGAGTGGTAGCCAGCCTGACCCTGCCGTTCCCACAGGATTACATCTGCCCGCGGTGCGAGTCTGGCTTCATTGAGGAGCTTCCAGAAGAGACCAGGTAGTGCCTAGGGTGGGGGCTGCGGGGACCTTGGCATTCACTGTCCTGAGGACCCAGGAGGGGCTTCAGCAGTAGCTGACAGGCTCTGTCTTCCTGTGCAGGAACACAGAAAATGGCTCAGCCCCCTCCACAGCCCCCACCGACCAGAACCGGCAGCCATTTGAGGTGAGTCCGAGTCCCTGGTCCCAGGCCCGCCCTCCCACCCTGCAGCTTGGTGGTGTTCTTATGGGTCCAACAGTAGTCTCCTGTCTGTGGGAGGGTTAAGGATTCTGCCTCTGCTGTCTGTATGACTGGCAGGCTCATTGCATCCTCTTCACAGAATGTGGACCAGCACCTGTTCACGCTGCCACAGGGATATAGCCAGTTTGCTTTTGGCATCTTTGACGATAGCTTTGAGATCCCCACGTTCCCTCCTGGGGCCCAGGCCGATGATGGCAGGGACCCTGAGAGCCGACGGGAAAGAGAGCACCAGTCTCGGCATCGGTACGGGGCCCGGCAGCCCCGTGCCCGCCTCACTGCACGGCGGGCCACTGGCCGGCATGAGGGTGTCCCCACACTGGAAGGGTGAGTGGCCTGAGGTAGCTGGGGAGGGCCTTGCTACCACTGTGGGACATACAGACGTGGGAGGCAAGCACAATCTACTGGCCACCTCTCTACCAAGGAGCCTGGGTCACCCACAGCAACGCAGTGCAGCGCCCCCAATCTTGAGTGGAAGTAGAATACTCCAGGCTCCACACCCTTGGGCATGCATGCCCCATGGCCTCTGTCTACCAGGAATCCCTGTGACGTAGTTGTACCCAATGGCTTCCTCCCATTGGTAGGAGAGCACATGCCGTTATCTCAGCACCGGGTGGTGGGGACAGAAAGATCACCACCAGATTTGAGAAAAAATAAATTTTTTTAAAAAGAAAGAAAGAGAGAGAGAGAAAGACAGAGAGAGAGAAAGAAAGAAAGAAAGAAAGAAAGAAAGAAAGAAAGAAAGAAAGAAAGGTCACCACCAGTTCAAGGCTAGCTCGGTCTGGTCAGTGCATTGGAGGCCAGGCTGGGCTGCAGAGCAAGCCTGCCTTGTGAGGTGGTCTGCAGAACCCTGTGACACTGTCTCTCCCACAGGATCATCCAGCAGCTCGTGAATGGTATCATCTCTCCGGCCGCTGTACCCAGCCTGGGCCTCGGTCCCTGGTGAGTAGGGGACGGGTACCTGGCCCCTCCTACCCTGCGCCCCCTGACCCGGCCTCTCCCCCCAGGGGCGTCCTGCACTCGAACCCAATGGACTACGCCTGGGGGGCCAACGGCCTGGACGCCATCATCACGCAGGTACAGCTGGCCACTCAGCATCTGTGGGGGCCAAGAGGCAGCCTAGTAAAGCAGACGGGGTGCTGCTCTGTAGCACCGGAGGCTCCTGTGTCTTACGCTCTGCTGTCAGACAACTCTGGCCAATCCCCTCTTCCCCTCATCTCCTGAAGGATGCCTGCTGTCCTAGGGTGCACACTGGCCTGCACCAGAGCTCTACACCTTAGACATCCCTGAGGTTTAATGGGCCTGGTCTTGCTGGTTTGCAACTCTGCAGAGCTGGGCAGGTGGAGACTCCCCAACTCCCCACTCCACCCTATTGGGAGCCATGCCCCCCACTCAGGCACTCTTCCTTCTTGTCTTTCAGCTCCTCAATCAGTTTGAGAACACCGGTCCCCCACCTGCAGACAAGGAGAAGATTCAGGCTCTCCCCACGGTCCCAGTCACAGAGGAGCACGTGGGTATGCTCGCTGTGGCCGGTGGACAAAGTCCCCAGGGACCTCCGCTGCATTGGCATGCTTCTCACTGACTCGCTTCCTCTGCAGGCTCAGGGCTGGAGTGCCCAGTGTGCAAAGAAGACTACGCGCTGGGCGAGAGTGTGCGGCAGCTGCCCTGCAACCACCTGTTCCACGACAGCTGCATTGTGCCCTGGCTAGAGCAGGTGACTGCCCTCCAGCTGAGTGGCCTGCACACATGGACCTATCCAGCTCAGGCCCAGACTTCTGCTTGCCTGCCAAGCTCCATGACCCTAAGCCTGACAGACACAACTCCAACCATAACCCTAGTCAGCTTGACCACCCATCAGAAAGTCTGAACTGAAAACCTAACACTAGTCACAACCCTCCTGACCAGACTGTCCTTTCCCTTAGCTCTGAGCCTGCCTTTACCGTGCCTCTCTCCAGCTATGGCCGCCGACTATACCTGAACCCTAAGGCTGACCTCATTCACTCTCGTCCTGGCTCTTCTCTGACCCTGCCCTTGATGTGCCTGTCTGCTACCCTGAGCACCTGCCATACAGCCATCTTGGGTCCCCAGCCCAGATCCAGACTGCTCCAACTCACACTCTGACTAAACCGTAACCATGGCTGACTGTCATCCAAACTCTGTCCCTGAGCCAGACCTCCCATGACCGTGATTTTAACCTAGGCCCTGACCCTTGCTTGAACCATTACCCTGACTCAGAACCTGATTGTATGCTTGGCCCTGCTTTCTGCCTCCCTCTAACTCCTCTTCTCTCCTCTCAAGCATGACAGCTGCCCAGTCTGCCGCAAGAGCCTCACTGGACAGAACACGGCCACCAATCCCCCAGGCCTGACCGGTGTAGGCTTCTCCTCGTCCTCGTCCTCGTCCTCGTCCAGTTCACCCAGCAACGAGAACGCCACAAGCAACTCCTGAGTCCCACCTGGCCATCCCCCGGGGGCTTGGTCATCCCAGCCCAGGTGCCCCAGCACCGCCCGCCATGGCTGTGGACTAGAGGTGCTGCCCCCCATGGCGGCCGGCAGCACCGGGCGGGCCCCAGGCTGCGGGCAGGCTCGGACTTGGCCATGGCTGCTCCTGTTTGGAGGTGTGCACGTGGGTCCCATGTCCCCAGCAGGCGCCTTCAGTCCGTCTTTAACCTCACCCTCCAAATGTTCAACGGCAGAAGGGTTTTTATGATTTTAAATTATTACTGCTTTGAAATAAATGGACGTTTGAGCCACGTGCGGCCATGCATGATCTGTGGAGAGGCAGCAGAACTGTCACCAGGCCCAGCCCGCCACATGCTCTGGGAGGCCGGGTCCAGCACCCAGCCAGCGCCGGCCTCGGGACCACGAGGGTGACCAGCAGACCCAGGAACAAACTGCTCCAGCAGACATTTTTTTTTTTTTTTTTTTTTAAGGGAAATGTGTGTTATCTGGAAAGCTATTTAAAATACACCTACTCAAAAAAGCAGAGCCCATGGCTTGGCGTCTTCCTTCAGCCAGGGTGCCTATGACTGACGGCATGGTGGGGCAATGCACAGGGTGGGTTGGAGCTTCTGGCAAAGGCCTGATGGAACCCAGCCCTCTGCACTGCTTGGTCAGAGGCACGATCTGAAGACTGCTCCCAGAGCTGCTTGGGCGGGAAGCTGCCTGGTGCAGGCCCTGCAGGTGAGTGAGCAGGCCTGGCGTCTCATACCACACACTTGTACTTGGTTACAGTGACAGACTTGCAACACGTATGACAGCATACCTACATACGCCATGCCAGGATAACTGTGGCTGAGCAAGTCCCTAGCCTTCCTGTTCCCAAGCCTCCACAGAGAAGACCCACAACACTTCAGCCCAAAGCAGTCCCTGCTTTTCAGCCGTGCTAGGACCTGCCCATCCTGTCCTCAAGTTTAGGACATGAAGAGCCCAGAAGGTCACATTACCTCAGCCCTGTCCGTGCTGGGGTTCTTGCCTTCTACTCTGTCGGAGTCTGGGGCTTAAGACTTGGCTTCCGTAGGTCGGTGGTGCTTTAATGACAAAGGCTGCCAGCCATATCCCACTCAGCCAGAAAGGGTGCCACCCATAGGTGCTACGCAGATTGCCATTCCCTGGAGATGCCTTCCTTGCCAAGGACCAGAGCACCCATTCTGAAAGCCCTTAGCACAGCACGTGGATCCTGCCACTGACAAGCAACCATGCACACCAAGGCTCAAAACTTTTATTGTTGTTGGCCACCTGTCACTGGTCTCCTCAGGCTGTGATCTGTGTGAGATCAGGCTGGTCCCTCCCAGTGACTCCAGGGAACTCAGGCATTGAACACATAAGTGTTCAGAGGCCCCGCATCAGCCTGGCATGGTGGTCTTTAATCCCAATACTACAGAGTCCGAGACAGGCAGACCTCTTAAATTCCAGGCCAGCCTAGTCTACATAGTGAATTCCAGGACAGCAAGGTTATGTAGAGACCTTGTCTCAAAATAGACTCTGTGTGTGTATGTTTGTTTGTGTGTGTGTGTATGGGTGCACAGTAGGTGCACATGAGCACAGATGCCTGCAGAGAGCAGAAGAGGGAGTCAGACCCTCTGGGGTGGGGATGGGGGGTAGAGGGGTTATGAGCGGCCCGATGTGGGAGAACTAAACTCAGGCCCCTTGGAAGAGCAAGATGTGCTCTTAACTTAAGTCCCCTACTCTGGCCACATGGGCTAATATGTCTGTTCCCGCTGACCTGGGCCCTGCCCTCCACATGTCCACCCTCCCTGGTCCTCCCTGTCTTTACTTTCCTCATCCACCTGATGTGTCCCCACCTCCAAGCCTCTCTGCTGTGCTCACCTCCAAACTAAATGGATGGAAACTGCCAGTCTGTGAATCCCCCTGAGCGTTGGCCTCAGCTGCAGGGACCCCGCCATGTCTCCATGCCTGGCAGCCAACAGGCACCCAGCTTGTGACATAAAGAAAGACATGTGTGGGCCCAGGATCTCTGGTCTGGCCCTTTGCTGCTCAGCTCCAGATCTTGCAGGCCCTGTGTACCGCCCATGCCTCCTGAACCTTCGGCAGGCCCTTCAAGACGAGACCAGTACTGGCAGGAAGTGTGTGGACAGTTGGTGCCGTCGAGTCCGTCTGCCTTGCCTGGGAATGCCTTGGCTGTCAAGTGCCAAGAACATGGGTCGGCCGTGGTGCCTCCACCGTCGTGAGGCGTAAGTGTTGTAGCCGTTCTCCTCGATGCGCTCCTGGAACCTACAGTCCGCAGAGTAGACCCGCTGCAGGGCGGGTGCATGAGACTGGCTATCTGCACCGTGGACCATTACCACCCAGTAGCTGCCCACTGCCAGTCACTCACCGAGCCATAGAGGCGGCCCCTGCGATTCATGGCCACATAGAAGCCTGAGTACACAGCTTTGATCACCACAGTGCCCACACGGACAGAACGGATCTCAACAATACCTGAGTGAGGACAGGACAGGACGGTCAGGCAGCAGCCACACCTGGCTCTTCAGTTTCCATCACCATTGTGTCTCCAACCCTGGCTGGCATGAACCCTGGCCAGAATGACCTGGGGAGCCAGGCCATGCTTGAGCACCAATGTATGCCCTCTGCTTCATGGAGCCTACACAACCCTGGGGGCTGGGTACCAACTGTACCTACTTCCAGAAGGGAAACTGAGGCCCAGGATTGGAAGAGCCATCTTTGGACCTCATCGGTCTGTTCAACGCTCTGTGACCATCCCTGGCAAGCCCTAGCTGGCTCTGAGTCTCAGCTTTCCTCAAGGGAGGGATTCAGGGAAGGGTTGGCTTCCACCACAGGCCTCTAAGGCCCAGACCCTCTTTGGAACCTTGAGGCTTCAGGCTGGGGACCATGCTGGGGACATCAGCCGCAACGTTCTTCCTCCATTCCTCACTGCTCTGAAAGGAGGACATTTGCTTCACCCCAGGGGAGGCCCATGACAGTGTGCCATCTTAGTTCACAATGCATGCTCTTGGTCAGCAGCACACAGGCACTATCAAGTTTAAGGAGGGAAGAACCCCATCCACACAGAGCCTGTCACCCCCATCCCTATGTAGGTGGGGTCTAAATCTCAGACATACTGAAGGGCCAGGTCACTCAGCTGGGCCTCTTCCTCAGCCTGGGGCCACCCCGCCTGGCTGTGCTACCATGGATGGACCTGCCCAGCCAGTCCCCTGTCATAGCCCTCGTCCTGTGTGGCCTAATGAGGGCCTTGGAACCCAGATGAAAGCCACTGGGATGGGCAGTGCCTTGTCACCTGCCCAGGGCTGAGCTCAAACCCTACCAGAGAAGCTGGCTGTGGCCTCCCCATCACCCCCAGCTTCCTTGCGGTGGCCTCTCCTTTTGCCACATACATGCCACAAGCATGTATGTATGCAAAGAAGGGCTCTGTCCAGACCTTGCTCCCTTCCTGGTGTCTTAGCAGGACCTTGAGATCAGGGCATCCCCTCTTACCTCATTTGCCAAATAGGGATGTCTGGGAACAGAGAAACCCCAATTCTGGCAGGTCACGATCCCAGGAGCGGGAATCCCCCTTCATAAGTTTGCCCTGACCCCACCCAGCGCCCCCTGCTTTTCTCCGGAGCCCAAGGGATGTGTGCCCGCCCATCTCTCCCTGCTGCCCTAGCACTCACTGTCCTGGCCGTGCCGCCAACGCGTCCCCTGCACCCGACCACCAGGATCCACACGCAGGAAAAAGTGGGTGGAGGAGAAGAGGCGGCGCCAGCGCACGTCGCCCTCCAGATGCGGGTATCCGCCCGGAGCGCCCGGTGCCCGCGCCAGCAGCAGCCAGGCCAGGCCCAGCCAGAGGCGGCGAGGCATCCCGACCTGTGCCCGGCGGCGCGCGGTGTTCCAGCTGCACGGTCGGGGGCGGGGTTATGGCTGCTGCTGTCCAATGGGCGCGTGGGGGCGGGGCCTCGGCTCCACATGCGGGGTCTGTGGGCTCCTGCTTGTCCCTAGGCCAGCGGCTGTCACCCGGGGGTACAGGTGCAGGGGTGGAGAGAGATACAGACAAGAGACAGAAGAACGAGATTAAAGAGGCAGATTGAAGACAGAGAGCCCAGAGATGGAGAGACCAGAGATACCAGAACCAGGAGACAGAATAAACAGAAAGGATAGAGGTGAACACAGAAAAACAGACCAGGGATAGACTGAAACCAGAGACAGAAGAAAGGGAAAACAAAGAAACAGAGACAAAAGACAGAGATAGGAGACAGAGATGTACAGACAGAGACAGCGAGAGATGCAGACTGTATAAGAGACAGACAGGTGGGACTGGAGAGGTAGCTCAGTGGTTAAGAGCACTGCTCTTTCAGAGGTTCTGAGTTCAATTCCCAGGAACCACATGGTGGCTCACAATCATCTGTAATGGGGTCTGATGGCCTCTTCTGGTGTATCTGAAGAGAGCAATGATGATGTACTCATATACATAAAATAAATAAATCTTAAAAAAAAGAGAGAGATGGACAGGTAGCAATGAGGTATGCTAGAAGGTATCAATTGTAGTTTCAATTTTGGAATTTTCATTTCTTTTAAAAACACAGAAATGATACAAGAATGTGTTTTCATTTAATCCCAGGTATGGGGTGTGGGGCTGCTTCAAACTGTCCACAGCAGCTGACTGTGATTTGCCTCGTGCTCTAGCAGAGGTGCGGTTTTGCCAGCTGCAGGTAGTTTCTGAGATTGTATGATATTTGGAATTCTGGGAACCTTTCAGAGGGTGTGTAAATGTTAGTGCCCAGCTGGGTGGTGATGGTGGTGTATGCCTTTAATCCCAGCACTTGAGAAGCAGAAGCAGGCAGATCTCTGTGAGTTTGAGGCCTGGTCTACAGAACAAACTCTAGGACTTCCAGGACTACACAGAGAAACCCTGTCTTGAAAAACCAAATAAATAAATAAATAAATAAATAAATAAATGCTAGAGTCTGGATAGGTTGGTTGTTGGTCGTTCAAGGGGGTTAGTTGCAGTTTGTTAGTAGTAGTTGTGGTCAAAGAATAACAAAATTAGATTTAAGGATCTCTATCTCTCTCCTCCTCCATCCTTCTTTCTCTCGTATCTAGTGATGGGGGTAAGACTAGTGGGGGGATAAAGGGCAGGAGTAAAGAACCCACAAGGTAGCAAAGACAGGCTACAAGTGGTGCCTCAACATAGGGTTTGAAAGTTAAGGATAAAGTGGGAAATTTGATCTCACTTGCCCATAAAGGACATGGCAGGGGATGAAGAAATGGATTTATTTTTCAAGACACTGGCAAAAATTTATTGGTGCTGTTACCACTGGGATATCTGCTTTGCTCCCAGGAGTGGGGGGATTTTCTGTTTTTTCCTTTTATTCTTCATATGTTGGGAAAGGTTAGAAGAACAGCTGAGCAGTTGGAAAGATTGACTGTGGAAATGGAGGGGCCTGAGAAACAGCAGCAAAAAAAAAAAAAAAAAAATGGCTGAAATGGAAAAACAAAAGGGGTCACTCGCCAGGCGGTGGTGGCGCACGCCTTTAATCCCAGCACTTGGGAGGCAGAGGCAGGCGGATTTCTGAGTTCGAGGCCAACCTGGTCTACAGAGTGAGTTCCAGGACAGCCAGGGCTACACAGAGAAACCCTGTCTCGAAGAAAAAAAGAAAAGAAAAAGACAAAAGGGGACACTTTACTCTCTTTTCTGAAGGGTTGTAGAGCTGGCGGTGCTGCTGGAGAGGCTGAGGGTGGAGATGGAAGTGTTTGGGAAGCGAGGAGCACCAGAAAGAACAGCAAGACTCAGTCTGGGTGACTGACAGAGAGAGCAGGCTTTTCCTGCAGGCGAAGAGAGGGGAAAAACTTCACCAGAGGAAGGTCGGGTCAGAGAAAAGCTGGACAAGCCGGAAGACAGGCTGATGAAACAGCCCATTTGGAAAGAAAGGGTTAATCTAGAACCACTTGCCAGAGTCAGGGAAGGGGTAGCCTGGGGTTAGGAGACCACCATCAGTTTTCCGAGTGCTCATACAGCATAAGCCTGCTAATGGTGGGAATAAGGTTATGACGAGATAGGATGGTGTCCTATAGAAACGATAGATCCACGGCCTTTTAAAGAGGCCGTGATTCCATATGGGATGCGTTTGCCTTATGTGAAACAAATTCTAAATAACTGGGCTACTCAAAATAGAATTATTCCTGACACTGGAAGAGATTGGTAGCAGCTGTACTAGAGGCTGGTCTGCAGTTGCAGTGGTTACCATGGTGAAGGGAAGAAGCTGCAAATATTGAACAGTGACGTAGATCGAGAGGAATGAACATAGTAAAAGACCAGTTGCTAGGTGAAGGGTGGCGTTATGATAGACAGAAACAGATTCAGTTTGGTGAGGCTATTATAGAACAGTGTCGCTTAGGTTCTTTAAGAGCTTGGGACAGAGCCGAGGAGCTTGGGGAAAGTCTGCCTCCCTTATGAAGATTATACAACGCTCTGGAGAAGCCTTCTCTGATTTTTTACAGAGATTAGTTTCAACTATGAGCAAAGCCGAGTCAGACCCCGACTCAAGGCAGGTGTTGATGGAGACCATGGCACATGAAAATGTGACCACGGAATGTAACAGAGTCATTAGACAGTAAAGGCTCCATCAGCATCTATAGACAGTGCATACGGGATCCGACTGCTGTTGGTCTAACAGGTACCATGCTAGTATAACAGACCAAGCTATAGCTACAGGTCACCAATATCAAAATGCTCAGCGCTTCAACTGCAGGAAATACAGCCATCTGCAAAGAGACAGTGACCAAGCTGCTTTGTGGGAAATACGGTCATCTGCAACAAAACTGAGAACAAGCATCTCTGAGGACACTGACTTTTCTAATATAAACCAGAAAGAAGGCCTAGGCTTCCAGGGGGTGTGCAGAGCATGTGGCAAGGGTGGCCAATGGACCACTGCATGTAGATCCAAGAGAGATAGTCAAGGTAATTTCTTACCATCTGAAACAGCCTTGTGGGCCTAGTTTGAGTCCCTGAAGCAAAACGAACGAGCTGTTTCAGCCAAGGAGTATAACATGCAGACTGAAAACTGTTCACTTGACATTGGAGATGTGATGCTTGCTACAGCTCGCCGCTTGGCATTGGAGATGTGATGCTTGCTACAGCTCGCCGCTTGCTCTGGACTTAGCCACAGGTAAACGTCTTAGTCTAACCCCAGAAACGCAGTGTTACAGTCAACCTGGCCAACTGGGCCAAGCATGCCCAGGACAATGTGACTTCTTCATCTTGGAGATTCTGAAGCTTCCCCTGGGGAGCGGCTCTGTCATGGAAGAATGGTCAGGGAGGGGCGGGGTGATAGGTGGGCACAGTGATTGATGGGAAAACACGTCTTTGGGCAGGAAGGACAGACATATATGTCACCAGGTTATGGGGCACTGAGGACAAGGGGACAATGTCCAGGCAGCAGAGCTGGGGCAGTGTGTCCACCCAGACACCTGCTCCTCATTGCAGACACACCCATCCCCAGGAGACACGGCACCCATGGCCACCTGCACCAGGCCAGCAGCCCATGGTTCTGAGGCTAGACACAACGACCTTCAAATGCAGTCTAGAGTCACTGGTGCTGAGGAACTGTTGGTTCTTAGTGTCAGTCCCCTCCCCCTGGCTCCATGTGACACCTTTAAATAGCACCAGGGTGAGGTTTGCTGGCAAGTTTACCTTTTGGGGAGCCCTCTGGAAAGACAACTAGTCCATCGGGATGCCGGGATTCCTTCCTGGTGGCTCAGTAGATCCTGTCTCTTCCTGTGCCTGGGCAGGTCACAGCAGGGGGTGGTGCCCAGGATAAGAAGGCAGGGCGTCCCCACGCCGGGGTACATCTGGGTCCACACAGCACATACATAGCACAAGGCCCCGTGGCTCTTTCTGGCAATCCATACCTGCATGGCTCCTCTGTAAGAAGACTTGCAAGGAGGTGTCTGTCTGGAAGGCTGCTGAGGAAGTCTAGGCATGCTGCTGGAAAACAGTGTGGCATACAGTACCAAACGCCACCCGGCCACTTTTGTCCCATGGCCAGAACTCAAAGTTCCTCTCCTGGGATGAACCCCTTGCACCCCTGGACATGCCCCTGGACATTTTTGGATTCCCTGTAATGAGATGCCAGGACTCACACCTGGGAGGTGTCTGACTTGGTTTAATTTAATAACAGCTCATTGAAATATAATTTACATACCACATAAATCACTCATTTAATGTATAAACTCAGTTATTAGTGCATAAGCATTGGGCAACCCTTGTCTGTCAAACTCCAGAATGTTCCCTCGTCCCAGAGGAAGCTCTGTCCCCACAAGCAGTCACCTTATCTTCTTACCAGCTCTCAAGTCCACTCTGTGTCTCTGGATTCTCCTGTTCCAGGCATTTGCTGTCATGGAGACACCCACTGGATGTCTTTTGAGAGCACCCTGTCCTTAAAGGGCATGTGTGGGAGTGTTACTCCTGTTCGTGGCTGAATGATATTCCAAGACAGGGCTAGCCCATACTATGTGCTTGTCATCCAGGTGTGTGGAAACCACTATCTCCACCTTCCAGGTGCTGTGACTATTTTAAGTTTTGGTGTGGATATGGGTTTTTATTTCTTCTGGACACATCCATTGGAGGGGGAATTGCTGGGTCATGTGGTGACTATGGTCTGCTTCAGCCTACGGAATGCTGGGATGGGAGCTGTGGGAGGAACAGAGTTCACAGCAGCCTGTACTTTTCTTTCCTGAGAGGGTTTCTCTGTGTAGTCCTGGCTGTCCTGGAACGCACTCTGAAGATCAGGCTGGCTTCAAACTGAGAAATCTGCTTCCTCTGCCTCCCGAGTGCTGAGATTAAAGGTGTGTGCTTCCAAGCCGAGC